TACTAATGACATTCTTCACAGAAATGGAAAAAACAATCTTACCATTCACACACAACAACAAAAGACTTGAAACTGTTACATTACCAAGGGAAAATATAGGTGAAATACTTCAGCAACTAGGTCTGGGCACAGACTTTATGAACATGAGCCTGAAAGCACAAGCAGCAAAAGTAAATATAAACAAATGGGAAAATATCAAAATAAAAAGCTTCTGCACAGCAAAGGAAACAATCAAGAGAGTGAAACAACAACCTATGGAGTGGGATAAAATTTTTGCTACCAATGCATCCAACAAGGGATTGACTAATATCCATAATATACAAGGAACTCAAGCAATTACACTGTAAGAAAACCAAATTACCCATTTAAAAGATGGGCTAAGGAGCTGATTAGACATTTTTCAAAGGAAGACATACAAATGGCCAACAGATACATGAAAAAATGCTCAACATCACTAGTCATCAGGGAAATGCCAATTAATACTATATTGAGATACCACCTCACCTCACTTAGACTGGCTATAATAAAAATCATGGTGAATAAAAAAAGTTGGAGAGGGTGTGGAGAGAAGGGAACACTCCTACACTATTGGTTGGACTGTAATTTAGTACAGCCACTATGGAAAAGAGTATGGAGGTTTCTCAAACATCCACAGATAGATCTTCCATGTGATCCAGCAATCTCACTTCTGGGTATATATCCAGAGGAATGGAAATCATCATGTTGAAGGGATACTTGCACTCCCATGTTCATCGCAGCTCTGTTCACAATCGCTGATACAGGGAACCAACCTAAATGTCCATTGATGGATGATTGGATAAGGAAAATGTGGTATATACACACCATGGAATACTACTCTTCCATAAAAAAGAATGAAACACTCCCATTTGCAACAACATGGATGAGCCTAGAGAAACTTGTGTTGAGTGAAATAAGCAAAGCTGAGAGGGATAAATACCACGTGTACTCACTCGTATGTGGGAGCTAAGAAGAGAAAGAAGTCAGGAAAGAAAGACCACAGTAGTGCGTTGGACTTGCAGAGGGAGAGAACATTCCTTGGGCTACAAAGTTGAGTCAGGGGGAAACAGGAAGGAAGAGGGAGGTTGGGGATAATTGGCTGGGGGATACGGGGTACAAATGCAATTTGTGGTAATGGGTATGCTGCCAGTATGAATCTGGCCCTCACATCATGGGCACAAGAGTTAACAATCATTTTGTATCTCATGAATATTCACAACTAGTGAAAAAATTAATTAATTAATTAATTTTAAAATGGGCAAAGAAAAAAAAAGCAGGAATGTATGAATGCGAAATACCTACATTTCTGTATGATTTCAGTACCAAAAAATACAAAATAGAAAAAAATAGAATATATTTGAAAAAATCTGATACATTGAAGGGACATAGCTTGATAATGATTAGAAAAGTCAATATTATAAAGAAGACTAATCTTTAACAATTACTTTAATGATTAAGTGCATTCCCAAACATAATCCCAGGAGAGATTTTCTTTTAACACATACTTTATTGAGGTGTAATGTACATAGTATAAATTTTATTCTTGTAAAGTATATGCCAGTGATTTTTAGCATATTCACAGTTACAACCATTACCACAATCAAAATTTACATGACCACAAAAGGGTACACTGTAGCGATTAGCAGTCACTTCCTTTTCCAACCTCCCCTCTGCCCCTTGGGAGCACTAACCCACTATCTGTCTCTATGGCTTTGCTAATTCTTCATATGTCCTATAAACAGACTTGCACAACTTGAGAACTTGTAGAAAGGTTGAATGCCACAAATATAATGTTCAACAAAAAGGGCCAAACACAACAGTAATGATATGCATACTTTGTGGTATGTGTATTATACTTCTGTAACTGGTTTCGAAAATATCTTTGTTATTTGAACAAATAACACTATTTTAAGACATGCAATTACAATATGAATTCCATTTCATTCACTATAAAATTACCTGACAGACCTCAAACTCAGGTGGTTCAATTCTAAGGCTTATGCTTACAATAATGCATTTGCGAAGATCCACAACTTTCTGATTTAAGAAATTCTGAGTGTAGCACAACACAATTACGTTCATGAGCTCCTGATTCTCTTACTCTGCAATAGAGAAAAATGTGTAATTCTGTTATATTTCATGGGGACAATAAAAGAAACAATAGCATTTTCCATGTGCTGTAGTAAAAGCATGTTGTGAAAATAGAAATGTTTTTCATATAATATTGGCATGAATGGATTCCTATAAAAACTGAGTTCTTTCTTTAATATTTATATCAACATTTTACTAATTTTCATCATCTTTCTTTAAGTCTGTAATTCATTAATATTAAATAATACTAAATTTATTAATATTATTATTCTTAATTTCTCTTTTTTATATGTTTTCTCTTATATAGCATCATTCAAGAAAACTTACTTTAGTTTGAAAGTTGAGCCATTTATTGACACCCATGGATGATCACTGCTGTTACGAAAGACTCCAACCCATGATACAAGTGATAGGGACATCAGAACTTTCTACCAGAAAATAAAGTTTCATTTAAATAGTCATTATGAAAAGCTTTTAATAATTTTCTTAAAATGCATGTAGTGTACTGTTTCATAGGATCTTTAAAAAACAAAATGAACATGTGCAACAATATAATAAA